GTTGGAAGCTACGTTTAACTTCAAAGCACAAATTTCAAGGTCCTTTTCTTTGTTAAATTGGTCTAGATTAATAGTATTAAATAGGATATTCTTATGAACAAGAACACACACACACCTCCATGACTGTATGTTGTCTATAATAGGAAGTACCGACAGTATACTGATTAAAATTTACTTCACTTATTTCATCAGTTCTCAAGTGGTGTTCCGATAAGCAGATAATTTGAGGTGCATTAAGAGATAATGAATTTAAGAATTCATCAACTTTATTAATAATTCCTCGTATATTTTGATGAAGAATTGTTAGTTTATTTGTATTATAATGATTCTGTAATAATTTGTTAGAAGGATGAATATGGTTCTTATGAACAGTATCATAAGGTGGTTTAGCATTATTCAATTTGATAGTGTTCCTCACAGCTGATTGATTAGCACTTACATCTTTATTCAACGAAGGAATGGATTTACCTGTCTGTGACCTAGAGGTTGACTTTACCATAAAAAATCTTTTTTGTCACAGGGGCTTTTTTGATTCTACTAGAAGTTCTAGTCTTCAATATGCTACGATTACCTACTTTTATGTTGCCATTTACAGTACAACTAGTTAAACTTTCTTTATCTGAATGGGGAGTACTGGCTAACCTGTCCAAAATAGTTTCATTAGTTCTTAGATTCTGATTATCTGAAATAGTTAGGGGAGTGGAATAACTAGCAACAGGAGAAGCATATACATCACCCATCACATAATCCAGATTTCCAGTTCGTCTTAGATCGTTAGTGCCTACATGAATTATGACAGTATCAGGGGCCCCTAGATCTCTGTTGTCTATGACTCGCTGCAGTTGCTCAGTTCTAATTCCCGGAAAACACTGCACCCTCATTTCAGCTTCCACATTGCATATAATGGAGTCACCCAACACTAAGCACTCAGCATCTTGTTGTCTCTGCACCGTATCACCCCTGGCAACCGCTCCTCGTAACTGATCTTCCAGCGCACTGTTCTTCCGTTTAAGTTCTTCAATCTGCTTCATTGCATTCTCCAGTTTCTCCTCCAGTTGTCGAAGCCTGCCCCACCTGCACCTCTCACAACTCCACTTCCCGCTCTCTGCCATTTGGGCCCTTACATTGCCACAGCTGTTGTGAAACCAGCGTCCACATGTGTCGCACTGTGTTCCCGATTTCAGGTTCCTCTCACACCCACTACACAATACTTGTAGAATGTTCTCAGCCTCCACAACAGGACCAGGGTTTTGCTCCACACCGCCGATTACTAATACTATGGCTAGAGCCGCTGCGCATAGAAGCATGTTGCCTATGTAGCTTCTTGCTTGTCCGTTCACCTCCCGGCCTTGGGCATGGCGCCAGGGAGTCCTTGCAGCCCAGTTGCCCACACGAGCTCGATAGTCCTCCAGGTAGCAACCCATTTCTATTAACTCTCCAGAAACATGACCGCTCTCGACAACGAACTGTACTACACTGACGAACTGTACTACACTGTCTATGTTCCTCCTTACTGTCAGAGACAAAGTTTCACACTCATACAGAACCACAGGCAAAATTATAGTTTTGTATATTCTAATTTTTATGTTTTGGGACAGCAGATGAGAAGACAAAAGATTCTCGACTGAATGGTAGCAAGCATTACCTGATTTCAATCTGCTCTTAATTTCCTCCTGTATCAGGTTTCGATCTGTTATCGTTGTTCCCAAATATCTGAACTGTGCCACATTTTCAAAACATCTGTTTCCTATCTTTATGTTATGATTTTGCCTTGGATTTTGGTGACGAGACAGCAACACATACTTACTTTTCTCTGTTTGTACTTCTAGACCAACCTCCTTACTTGCATCAATTAAAGTTTGTGTGTTTTTCTTTAAGTTATCTATATTATCACCCAGTAGATTCACATCATCAGCATACACCAACAGCTGATGTGACCCATTTAATTTCAGTCCCACCTGGGTTCCCTGGACCTTCCTAACGGCATATCCTAAAGCAAAGTTGAAAAGTAGTGGCGTTAAAGCATTTCCTTGTTTTAGACCATTCTGGATAGGAAATTTATCAGACAAATGTTTACCTTCATGGACTTTACTATACGTTTCGTTTAAATACATTTTAATCAACCTAACTAGTTTCATGGGTATCCCAAACTCTATCACAATACTGTACAATACTTCCCTCCTAACTGAATCGTAGGCTTTCTTGAAGTCTACATATAGCTGATGTACTGTCTCATCGTACTCCCTTTTTTCTCCAATATCTGACAAATGCAAAAGATCTGATCAGTAGTTGATCTGTTATGTCGAAACCCACACTGATGATTCCCCGTAATTTCATACATATATGGACTTAACCTTGAGAGAAGAATATTGGACAAAATTTTGTATGAAGTTGATAGCAGTGATATCCCCTGATAATTACTAATCAGTTTTATCACCCTTCTTGTGAACTGGTACAATAATAGACTCCTTCCACGGATCAGGCAATTTTTCCTTATGCCAAATAGAAGTAATTGGATTGTGGATCTTAGAACGTAATATTTCGCCTCATGCTTGAATAAGTTCTGCTGGAATTTGATCACTACCTGGTGATTTATACTGCTTCAATTTTGCAATAGGAATTTCAACCTCCAAAGGGCTAGGATTGGGTACTAACTGCTCAGTTGTATTTATTTCTATCTGACTAATGTCACTGACCCTATGTACATTCAGTAAATGAGAGAAGTAGTTCTTCCAGCTGTTCACAATGTTGTGGGAATCTGCAAGCAGATCACCATTCTCATCCTTCACTAAGTTACTCTATGTTGGTAACCCCTCTTAAAGTTATTTATTCCTCTATACAGGTCTATAATATTCTTGTTCTTACTGTTCGTTGCAAGCTCATCTATTTTGTCTTTCAGATATTCCTTCTTTTTATTCCTGAAATGCCTGCTGGTTTCACATCTTATGTTGTTCAGCTTATCCCCATTTATTTCGCCTGGGTCCTGTAACCACTGCATTTTGGCTTGTTTCCTTTTGTCTAATAATTTTGAGCATCCTTCATCAAATCATGTCTTATGCTTCTTCAGTTCATAATATCCTGGACTCTCTTTGGCAGAAATTTTGATAGTCTCTCAAATAGTTTCCCATGTTTTATTAACATCCACCTCAGTGTCTAAGTTTTCCAAAGATGCAAACCTATTTGAGAATTCAACACATTACTGCTCCTTACCCTCTACCTCGTTTAATTTCTTGAGATTGAACCTCTCCATATGAACTCTGTGCCTTGTTTGTTTACTCACCGCCAGTTTTCCCTAATCTTTGCCACCACCAGGTAGCGTTCAGTAACACAATCTGCTTCCCTGAATGATCAAACATCAAGTATGCCATCTCCTATCTATCAAAATAGGGTCTATTTGACTGTGTATTTTCTCATCAGGAGATGTCCAAGTAAATTTATGGATGTTACGATGTGGGAACATTGTACTTTTGACAGTAAGATTTTTTGATGTGGCAAAGTTTACTACTCTAACTCCATTATCATTACCAATTTCATGCAAACTCTCATTCCCAATCGTTGGTTTGAAAATGTCTTCCCTCCCTACTTTGGCATTGAAATCTCCTAACAAGATTTCCATAGGGTACTTCGGGATTTTATCAAATATGTGTTCTGGTTCTTCACAGAATCTATCCTTTATGTCATCAATTTTATCTTCTGTTAGGGCGTGAACATTCATAGCAATGATCTCACACCATTGACCTTTTAGTATTATATATGATAGCCTATCACTAACGAACTCTACTCTCTTAATTGCTGATACGATTCTCTTATGTACAAAAAACGTATACCTACTTCATGATTTTCATTCTCCTTTCCATAGGAAAATGTATAGTCTGCTGCTGGTGTGATGCCACCTCCATCCCATCTGACCTCCTGAACGCCCGCTGAATCTAACTTATATTTTAAGATTTCTTCTGCCACTGCCCTGAGCGAACCTGCCCTGTACAAACTTTGAACATTCCAAGTGCCAAATCTCATATCCATTTTCTTTAGCTTAGGTCGTTCATCCAAGGAATCCATCCAGGTCCGAGGCTTTGTGATCGTTTTCGTAACATAATACTTTTTTTATGGTGAGGAGTTGCGAGCTCCACTCCCAACCCCCAAGCTGGAGGACTACTCCTTGTCGGCTGTCTGTGACTGCTTATTCTATATATTCGCAGCTTCCCTCTGAAACTGGAGGGTGTCTCCTCCATCCAGAACCTGAGGATGCACCATGCCGTGGTGACATGGGACCCACCTAACATGGATGGTTACATAAAATAAAATAAAAATGGTTTAAGTGTGTATATAGAGATAAACAAGACATTATATTTCTGTTGAAAGAATCGATGAAAACTAAGTTCTGACACTGTATTACAATTCGTTTTTATGTGGACAGAAAACTGTACAAAATGTTTTTTATTTTCCTTACTGCTGAAAGTGTAAAGTTTATAAGCCATTTTAATTGAAGGAAGATGATAATTATTTTTTTCTCCAAAGATGTGGGCAACAGATACTTATTTTTTGAGACAGAATTAAGATAATTCTTCACATCCTGATCTACAATATGTAGCAATATAATAGATGAGATCTATTCTAAATTAAATGTAATGTTTCAGTGACATTCAAATACATGGAAATATGAGTACGGGTCCTACATCATCCCACAGCCTGGTATTGCAATTTGCATGATTCAAAAGATTAAAAACAAAGTTGACAGGTACACCAAACAAAGTGAAATAATGCTAACCTTGAAAACACAATACTAGTATGAAATGTTACAGAATGAAGTTAATCACATTAAACAACCTGTTTTAATATTTGTTTGATGATTTTGCAGAACTGCTAGTATAGTAAACATAGTAACGCATCTGTCTTATTCAGCAGATTTCATTTATGTTATTATCTCTTTAAATTACGTGATTTTCAGTACACATATTTTTAAGTTACTACCACTAAATCATGAGACAAGGTCAAATTTTATGGCATGTAAAAGTGAACTAAAATAAAGAGATTTACAACATGGAATATATGTATGACTATTATGTGTTCCTCTATGAAAGACAAAAATTTATTCTGAACCTGTGAATAAAAGGAAGAAATTATTAGATTGTACTAACAATGGATTTTAGCCATTTAATAATAATACTGTTCCAGGGCTACACAAACTGTTCAGAAAATGTCATTTGTGATCTTTACCTTGGAAGGGGTATAATGGGCCTGAACATTGCAAGGAAGAAGAGAAATAGCAACACAGGCCAGTTATTGGAAGTTTAGGTCTGTGGGGTATTCTAGGTATGTGATGTCATACAAGGGTGACACACACGCACACGTGCACGCAGCAGAGTGGCAGCAGCAGCAGCAGTACTCATTGGCTTCATGATGTCATCGTCATTGGCATCATAATTATTATTCTCAGTTGTTTGACTGGAAACATATACAGACTTGTGTCCAGTATCCATTTGGTAAAAAACTGACATTGATTAGGGTTGGATAAGAAATATTTGGTGTCATATATCAATCATGACAGTTTTCTGACTCAGTGGTAACATATTGTGGCATATTTGCTCTATGCAGGAACTGTTGAGCCACAGAGGCCTCAGGGTACGTGTGCAACGGGAGAGTTGCGGATTGTATCCGTGCGTTGCTAGGTGACAACTCTGTGAACACTTGGTTAGTGCAACAGGAAGTGCAAGTGATGTGACATATCCCCACTCATCCCGTAACTATGCAACGCTCGGTAAACACCCATCTCTGCTAGGCTGTGACGTCACGCAACAGTGTAGTCCGTGCTGTTTTCTATGTGGTCTGTGATGGGCCTATGTACGGGGATTCAATGCACCAGACGAGACAGTTATTGAGCTGTATCGAGTGAATGGAATTGAGACAGTTGTCAGAAGTGACAGTTGAAGCATGGAAGTGACTGCAGCAGGTACAGCAGGAGAAGTAATTCGGGTACTGAAGTTGTGAGTTATGTAGTTAGTTAGTTAGTTAGTTATTGGAGAGGGTGGGTTTCCCCATGCACTTAGACCTGTATTGGTCCATTGTGCTTCCCTCTATGATTTCTACTAGTGTCTATATCCTACCGGTACTGGTGCTTACCATCAATCCTGCCCAGCCAGCGAGACCGGCTCTACTAGCTGAGAGGTATCTATAATGCCTTCCCCATCTACCAGAGGTATTAGAGACTGCTGTTGGGCGGGAAACTTCCATAATTTGGCTCAGTGACCTCCTTTGGAGATATGAGGTTCTCTTACGTGCCGTAAAGCTAAGTGTGGATAAAAGTGTGCGATAAATTCGCTAGATCCAAGACCGGCATGAAGTTATTTGTCGCGTTACACAGCCAACACACAACAATATTATAAATTCCAGATGCCTTTGTCCCCTTACATTTCTTGCAGATCAGCAGTTGCTGAAATGATTACGAAACTGATGTGCA